TGGGCAACCCGCGGGATGGACCTGGGCTCGACGCGGGCGCCCGCGCAATCATCCATCGTCCTCTACAGCAGGACGGCCGTGACGGCCATGAGCGACACCGCCCAGCCGACTCTATCAACGGCTGGCACGAGGCGTTGGATCTCTTCCAGGACGGGGCCTGTTTGGCGCGCCCGATCGTGGAGCTGGTTACCGAACGCTGGCCCCCCGACATCTGGGCCATCTCGAAGACCATCGCCCAGAGGCTGGAGGACGTGCGGAGCCACAGGGTCAGGTCATGGTAATGGCGGGCTCTCACACGCGACGTGGCACAAGCAGCTGGGCTCGCAGCCGTGAGGTCGAGGGGCCGGCACCTGACAGCAGTGCAACAACCGCGGGAGCGGATCCAGGGCCTCTGCGCCGTTGGCCTCGATACTCTCCGGCCCTTGCCAACTGGTGTTCCCCACCCACCAAACCACCCCAACCCAACCCGAAGGCTCAGATTTACTCTCGATTTCCAGTTGGGGGGGGGTCAGGAAACATAGAAAAAACACATGTGGAACCCTTACCCCCCCCAACCCGAAATTCGGGTCTTCGGGTTGGGTTGGGGTGGTCTGGTAGGTAGTCAGGTGTGCCTTGGCTGCCCCCAGCTGGTCTACCGGAACGCTGGCTCCGACCGCGGGACATAGCGCTCCCCAGCGGGGGTCTGGCCGATCCTCAAGGCGCTGGCGGGTGGTTGGACCATGAGGGATAGGATGCACGTGATTGCCAGGAGAAAACTCATTCTCGGGTGCTGTGGATGCCCAGACAGCCAGCAGCACTACCTCTTGAGGTGTCACGTCGTCTTGAATGCGCTCAAGATCTACGAGAGGCACTTCCAGGACCTCGCTTTCATGACCAATATTGGCCTGCCCCTGCCCGAGCAGCGGTGCTCCGACGAGCTCCTGCTACACTCGTGCAATGCGCTGTGCGTGGCCTTCACGCTCTACCACGACATCAAGGACTACAGCAGGGTCTCCGCCGACTGGCTCATGCGCACACCCGCGGCCCGCGCCGCCGCCACTCGCGCCCGGGCGTGAAGAGGAGGTTCCGCTCCAGGGGGGACCTTAGCTCATCCTCCTCCTCCTCCTCCTCCTCCTCCTCGTCCTCCTCCTCCTCCTCCGACTCCCCCCCCTCCTCCTCCTCCTCCCCCTCCTCCTCCTCCTCCTCTCTCCCTCCCCTCCCTCCCTCCTCCTCCTCCTCCTCCTCCTCCTCCTCCGACTCCTCCTCCTCCCCCTCCCCCTCCTCCTCCTCCTCCTCCTCCTCCTCCTCCTCCTTCTCCTCCCCCTCCCGAACGGGCGCTAGTCCTCTGGTGGTATCAGAGGGCCTCCGTGGCCACGCCGGCAGGCGCCCGCGCGTGCGTCGCGGGGCGGGCGCGGACTGGAATCGCTTTCGGGGCGCTGCGGCAAGCAGGAGTAGGAGGAGGTGTGGGGGGGGATAATGAGGAGGAGGAGGAGGAGGAGGAGGAGGAGGAGGCGGATGATGATGATGATGATGATGATGATGATGATGATGATGATGATGATGATGATGATGATGATGATGATGATGATGATGATGATGATGATGATGATGATGATGCTGATGCTGATGCTGATGCTGATGCTGATGATGCTGATTATGCTGATGCTGATGCTGATGATGATGATGATGATGATGATGATGCTGAAAATGATGATGCTGATGATGATGATGCTGATGATGATGATGCTGATGATGCTGACGATGATGATTCTGATGATGCTGATGACGATGACGATGATGCTGCTGATGCTGCTGATGATGATGAAGCTGATGATGATGATGATGGTGATGATGATGATGCTGATGATGATGATGATGATGATGCTGATGCTGACGAAGCTGATGATGATGCTGATGATGATGGTGATTATGATGATGACGATGATGATGATGATGATGCTGATGATGATGATGATGCTGCTGCTACTGATGATGATGATGATGATGATGATGATGATGATGATGATGATGATGATGCTGATGATGATGATGATGATGGCGATGCTGCTGCTGCTGTTGCTCCTGATGCTGATGATGCTGCTGATGATGATGATGATGATGGTGATGCTGATGCTGCGGCTGATGCTGCTGGTGCTGATGATGATGATGATGATGATGATTATGATGATGATGATGATGATGATGATGATGATGATGATGATGATGATGATGATGATGATGATGATGATGAGAGGAGGAGGAGGAGGAGGAGGAGGAGGAGGAGGAGGAGGAGGAGGAGGAGGAGGAGGAGGAGGAGGGGGGGACAGGGGAACAAGGAGGGGAGGAGGAGGAGGAGAGGAGAGGAGGAGGAGGAGGAGGGGAGGAGAGGAGGGGAGGAGGAGGAGGAGGAGTAGGAGGGGGGGAGGAGGAGGAAGGAGTAGGAGTAGGAGGAGGAGGAGGAGGAGGAGGAGGAGGAGGAGGACGAGGAGGAGGAGGAGGAGAGAGGAGGAGGAGGAGGAGACGAGGAGGAGGAGGAGGATGAAGAAGAAGAGGGGAGGAGGAGAGGAGAAGGAGGAAGAGGAGGAGGAGGAGGAGGAGGCGAGGAGAAGGGGGGAGGAGGAAGAGGAGCAAGATGAGGAGGAGGCGAGGAGGCGGAAGAGGGGAGGAGGAGGAGAGGACAGGAGGAGGAGGAGGATGAGGATAGGAGCGGAGAGGGCGGAAGAGGGAGGAGAGGAGGTGAATCATGAGAGGAGGGAGGGGAGGAGGAGCAGGAGGAGGAGGAGGAGGAGGAGGAGGAGGGAGGAGGAGGAGATGGAGGAGGAGGCGGAGGAGGAGGAGGGGGAGGAAGAGTAAAAGGAAGAGGAGGATGAGGAGGAGGATGAGGAGGAGGAGGAGGAAGATGAGGAGGACGAGGAGGAGGAGGAGGAGGAGGAGGAGGAGAAGGAAGAGGCGGAGGAGGATGGAGGAGGGAGAAGGAGGAGGCGGAGATGGATGGAGGAGGGAGAAGGAGAAGGAGGAGGACCCGTGGGAACCCAAGAGCCATCACCGATTTCATTCTTAACCCTTCCGCCAAGCTCCCTCTCCATAGGCCTCTACAGCGGTTCATTTCCATTGAGGGAACGGCCTCTTTGGAAGGCAGCAGTTCGAATATCCTGAAGCGTCCCAACACATTGTTCTCGGAATGTTAACACAACGTATCAACCTGACTGCTGCGTTTTGATGGTCCAGAATCGTGCCAGAACGGCATTTCTGGGATTTCAACACAGCGAATCAACATAACTGTTGCGCCCGCATAATCCTGAATCCTCCCAACACACCCTTTCTGGTGCGCTGATCATGGAAATTTTAGAAACCCTTGCAAAGTTGGCAGGCGAATGTGCGCGGCGCTCAGGCGCCAGCAACATTTCGACAACGATCCGCCCTCAATCCGTGAAGCTCTTGTAAATTTTTGAAACGAATGTGCGCGGCGCTAAGGCGGGAGCCACATTTTGGAAACCACCCGCCTTCAATCCGTGAAACGGTTGCAAATGTTTGAGACGAATGTGCGCGGCGCTAAGGCGAGAGCCACATGTTGAAAACGACCTGCCCTCAACCCGTGAAACTCCCCCACATGTTTAGGACGAATGTGCGCGGCGCTACGGCGCCAGCCACATTTTGAAACTGACCCGCCCTCAATCCTTGAAGCTCTTGCACATGTTGAAAGCGAATGTGCGCGGCGCTACGGCGCCAGCCACGTTTTGAAAACGACCCGCCCTCAATCCGTGAAGCCCTTGCAAATTTGTAAAACGAATGTGCGCGGCGCTAAGGCGAGAGCCACATGTTAAAAACGACCCGTTCTCAATCCGTGAAGCCCGTGCAAATGTTTAAGACGAGTGTGCGCGGCGCTAAGGCGAGAGCCACATTTTGAAAACGACCCGCCCTCACTCCTTGAAGCTCTTGCACATTTTCAAGACGAATGTGTGTGGCGCCAAGGCGAGAGCCACACTTTGAAAGCGACCCGCCCTCCATTCGTGAAGCTGTTGTCACTTTTCAAGTTTCAGAGTCAAATACGGTGAGGAAGACTGAGGGGGAAACGCCCAGCCCGCCCTACAAACTGGCCTCGGGGTGCGACAGGGAGGAGTTATCTATCAGGAGGAGGAGGAGGAGGGGCAAGAGGAGGAGGAGGAGGAAGGAGGGAGGAAGAAAAGGAGAAGGAGGAGGATGAGGCCGAGGCGGAGGAGGAGGGAGGATGAGGAGGATGAGGAGGAGGAGGAGGAAGAGGAGGAGGAAGATGAGGAGGAGGAGGAGGAGGAGGATGAGGAGGAGGGAGGAGGGAGGAGGAGGATGAGTTGGGGAGGCCGCCCAGGGAGGGCTCCGCAGAGGGGCTGGCGGATGCCCCTCCGGGTCCCTTGAGCCGCCTCACTTGAATTATCCTCGCGACAATCCCAACCATATGCAGCTGTGGGCACCGCAATTGTGAATATCTTCTTCGGTGGAGCTCCCTATGGGGCCACGAAGCGCTGCAGAAATTTCAGGGGCTGGGCTACGCCACGTGCCTTTGCGCGCGGACGGGCGCAAAGGCCTTGATGAGCGATCCTGCGGGAGAGCGACAGAACCCTTGCTTGCGCCAGGCGGCCTTCGCACAAATGGGGCCATGCAGCTGGTCATGGGGGGTCGGGCGACATTGCGACTGGGAAGAAAATTGGAGGAATCTGCTCTGCATGCTTGTCGGAGGTGACAGAACGGGCGAACCAACGCGTGAAGGAGCGACTGGACGAGTGGAAAAGCAAACGGGCGGGGGGACAGGCGAGGAGAACTTGTCGTGGAGGACACGGTTTGCGTCGCCGCTGGGGCAGGCTGGTCCTCTCCTGCCCCGTATCCCCTGGCTGTCATACCCCTCCCTTCGCTTGCTCCCTCCCCTTCCCTCTGCTCCCTTGCCCTGTCTCTCCCTGTCTTCCGCCTTGCATGCTCCTCCTTTCGTCTCCTGCCCAGCTTCTCCTCCGGCTACGTGTGCGCGCCTCCAGCCTCCCTGCGGGGGCTAGTCGTGTCCACGGACGAAGCACTGCCATGCCTGCAACAAGTGCGTGGACGTTTTTGACCACCACTGCATGTGGCTGAACAACTGCATCGGCCGCGCCAATTACCGGTCGTTCATTGCCACTACCAGCTCCCTGGCGGTCCGTGGGGGCGGGGCGCTGGGTGCCGCGATGCTTCGGCGGCACACGCGAAGGTTTGCTTTGCTTCCGAGTGCGATTCACCCGTGGTAGGCTCGCGGATCGGGGCAGGCGTGTTCAGAGGGGCGGCGTCTTGAGTGAAACTTTTCCACCGCTCAAGTTGACTGCGTGGTCGAGTGATCGCAATGAGCCTGCGTTCAGTGATACGACTGTGCTGTGGTGCTTCGCCTGTGTGAGAGCGAGGTCTTGTGCTCGGTGCGTAGACTATGACTAAAGCGCGTGGCAAAGCGTTTCCCAGATCGGCTTGCCCACGGGGCATCTACCCCGAGCGTGACCCGTTGAGGCTCTTCAGCCGATTCTGGTGGCCCCTCGGGGCCTACTTGAAGCAGCCCCTCAGCTCGATGTATCATGCTATGTCGCGCGCGTCTGATTTTGTGAGCGACCCGACTCTCTCTGAAGGGCGTCTTCTCGTATCAAGGGCATTTATTAGTCCTCTCGAGTGTCGCTTCTGATTTTGTCTTGGGGGGAGTCCTCGTTGTAAATGCCCAGGGCCCCTTGTGCTTCTCTCTGGGGCAGCTTTTGGCAACATCTCCGCTGGTGCTTTACGGACGCGCAACCACGTAACGCTGAGGTGGGGTTCCATTTTGATCAGATCCTGACCCATCTGCGCAGTGCCCAACCGACTGGCGCTCGTCACATGAGCGACGGAAGAAAACGGGTCCGTCTTCACCGACATTCGCGCGTAAGCTGCCCGCCTACGGTCGCGCGTAAGCTCCCTTGTTTCCAATTGACCATGCTGCGGTGGCGGCCTGGGTAAGCCACCGCGTAAGGTCTTTATTCCATCGTGCGTAAGACCCGTTTCTTTTCGTCGCTCAGGTGGCGTTCGGTGCAAGCGCTCGGCCGGAGGCGTCCAGTGCCCCTGCAGGGCCGATCTCGCTGGACTGGTTGGATGACGGTTGTCGAGCCGTCCTCGAAAGCCCAGGCTCCGAGTCCCGAATCCAGGCGGCTTCAGGACGGGCCTCGCCTTCGAGGGTCGACGGCGTCGGACGCCCTCGAGGGTCGAAGGCGTTGGCGTGTCCTCCTCGGCGGAGGGTGGCGGACTCCCGACGGACGGCGGCGGCAGGAAGACCGGGGCGGCTCCGCCGGCGGAGGCGGGCGAAGGGCCCGCGGGGGCTGGCGGAGGTCAGGTGCGCGCCCGCGAGAGGTGTTCGCGTGTTTGGAGGCCGGGTTTCCGGGACGGGCCAGACGGTGCTGGCTGGTGCACGAGGGATCCAGCGCGGGAAGGGCCATTCCGCATTCCTGCGGGCGGGGCGCGGCCGCCAGGAGCAATTCTCTCTCTCTCTCTCTCTCTCTCTCTCTCTCTCTATATATATATATATATGTATATATATATATATATATATATGTATATATCGGCTGGCGGGACGAGCGAAGCGACTCCAGTCGGCGGGCCGCCCTGCGGGCCCATCGCCGCGGTAGGCGTCGAGAGGAGATGACGAGATGGTGATCCAAGTGAGGATGGTGAGAAGCATGCGTAAGGCATGCTCAGAAGGGGCTCCGCGCACTTCGCTCCTCGGTTCTCCTGGAGCACGTGAGCAGAACACGATGGATCGGCGCTCCCAGGGCCACGAAAGCCTCGCTTCGGCACAGCCCTCGCGCATTTCCTGCCCCACGCTCTCCTGGGGCACTGGAGCTGCGAGAGATCTGCGCTGCCAGGTGTTTGGCGCACGTGGGGCGACAAGTGGTTTGGGCCTCCGGGCTCTTGGGATACGTAGACATGCGAGTCAGTTGCCTGTCTATCCTGATGCGAACCTCAATTCGGCACACCCCTCACGCACTTCGTGCATGTTCGGCACATCCCTCACTGTATGTCCACGGGCGGTTGGGGCATAGATGCATTGGCGAGTCTTGGGATCCGAGATGCATCTGAGACATCCCTGGCAGCAGATGGTCTACGCGCCTTTGTAGCAGCAAGGCAAGTTGTGCGAGCACGTGTCACAAGTTTGTCGCAATGACCGTCAGCGGGTGGTTTCGGCTGTGTTGTTGCTGCTCCTCGTCCTTCTCCGTGAGACGTATGCGACATCGCATCCTAGGGTCCAAGGGTTCTGCCGTGGTCGACCTCACATTGTTGTGTGTGTGTGTGTGTGTGTGTGTGTGTGTGTGTGTGTGTGTATGGGCTGACTGACAGGGCTCCATATTCAGATCCCCGCGACCTTGGCTTTCCCGCCGCTCCCTCCTTCCCATCCTCCCCTCCTGCTGCTGCTCCTCGTCTCCGTCATCCCTCCAGGTGGGAGGCACTGTGCAGAAACGATGAGAACAAACGCGTCCTCCCTCTCCTCGGAGATCCCCTGCTGCATCCCCCGCTTGCCCTGGAGGTGATGCTAGTGTTCGTCCTGGGCACCTGCTTGAAGATTTTCATTGAGTGTGCCACTGACATCGAGGTCTTCGAGGAGCGGGTGAGGAGCGTGACTGGGCTCGGTGAGGCGCCTGTCGAGGAGCGACCTTTGTTCGGAAGGGAAGATGGAGTTGCGAGATGAACATACATAGGCACATATATGTATACATATAGATATACAGAGATATGCATCTTCCGAGAGAGGGAGAGGTAGAGAGAAAAAGAGAGAGGGGGGAGAGGCAGAGAGGGGTATGACGAGAGAGAGAGAGAGAGAGTGCGAGAATTCTAGAGATGCTTAAGCTTGTTTTTATGCGCGTATGCATGGTTGTGCATATGTGTGTATGTCAAACGGGAGAGATCGACATACACACATATACATATCTTATGATCGCGAGAGAGAGAGAGAGAGCGAGAGACAGAGAGAGAGAGAGAGAGAGACAGAGACAGAGACAGAGACAGAGACAGAGAGAACGCGAGAAAGAGAGAAAGAGAGATAGAGGGGGTAGAGAGAGAGAAAGAGAGAGAGAGAGAGAGTGCGAGAGAGGGCAAGAGATAGAGAGAGAGAGAGAGAGTGAGAGCGCGAGAGAGGGCAAGAGATAGAGATAGAGAAAGAGAGCAAGAGAGAGAGAGAGAGAGAGAGAGAAAGAGAGAGAGAGAGAGAGAGAGAGAAAGAGAAGAAGGCAGGGACATACATATCCAGATACGGGAGATCCCAGCTCCAGGGCGCCTGGCCCCCCCTTGTACGACGGTCCCCCTTCTCCCCAGGGACATCCCCGGGTGACCCCCCATGAGATCCAGAACGCCCGAGACTCTTCCAAGACGGCCCAAGATAGCCGTCGACTGGCTCTTGACGCCTCCTAAAGCGCCCCACGAGAGCTCTAAGACGGCCCAAGGAGAGAAAGAGAGAGAGAGAGAGAGACAGAGAGAAAGAGAGAAAGAGAGAACGAGAGGAAGAGAGAGAGAGAGAGCAAACACACCAGAAAGAGAGAGAGAGAGAGAGATAGAGAGAAAGAGAGAGAGAGAGAGAGAGTTACATGAGGTGAGGCACACGAAGGACGTCGTTCCTGGTGTTCCTGGTTCATGGGAAACGTTCCCCCCCAGGACGAGGGCAACTTGAACCAACTCACGGGGTGGATGGCCTAAGTGGGAAGTAGACGTATGTGCAGAATAAAAGAAGTATTTGCGCGTCCAGACACATGCTAGTTCATGCATGTCTCATCAATTCAAGCCTAAATCAATATCATGAACAAGCTGAACACTGTTGGTGCGACACGTCTCGTGAGGAAACTGTCGGCTTATGAACATACGGTGACCGACACGCTGTGGTCCCACACAGGTCCAGTCTCGCATCTGCTGCCACTCGCGAGTGGAGCCGCCGAGGGAGCCAATCAATACATGCACGCCGAGGTTTCGTTTAGCAGTTCTGGCGCGCCATTGGAGGTTGGAACACGGAAGCTGCGGCGGAATGCTTCGCCGCATGCAACGGCATGGAGGGTCGGAACCAATGAATCCTTGGCACCCACTGCTACTGTTAAGACACCGAAGTGTCAGTCAGACCAGCGTGTGCTGGAGAATTCGCCGTTCATTTTCAGTAACAAGATGTCAGCCCGCGTGGCCCTCAAGCAGCGAGTTGGTGCGCAGTGTAGGTGTGAACTCCGTTGTGCAAGCTATGTGGCGTAATCTATGTTGTGTAAACTTTGCGGTGTGAGCAGGGTGGTGTAACCTATGCGACGTAAGCTGTGCGGTGTACGCTATCTGGCGTGAGCGTTGGGGTGTGAGCTAGGTGGTGCAGCCTATGTTGTGAACGCTATGTGGTGTAACATATGGTGTGTAAGCTTTGCGGTATGAGCTCGGTGGTGTAAGCTGCAGTGTGAGCTATGTGGTGTAAGCTGCGTGTTGAAAGCTACGTGCCGTACCTCTACAATGGCAGCCGTAGTGCGTACGCGAGGTGCTGTGAGTTATGTGGTGTGAGCCATGCGTCGCAAGCTGCTTGGTGCAAGCTACAGTCGGGGCCCTGCAGAAGGAGCCCTTTTCGTTGGGGAGGGGCTCCGTGTTCCTTGATTGTTTCGCAGCTTGCCTCAGGTTTTCCTTAGGTTTTCGATGGGAAATCGAAGGTTAACTGATGGGAGAAAGGGGCCTCGTTCCTTATTTAGGGTTCCTTAGATCAACGCCCCCACTGTATGTGGGCCATGTGGTGTAAGCTGTGCTGTGTAAGCTGTCTGTTTTCGACAGGAAATCGACAGGACATCGAAGGTTAACTCATGGAAAAAAGGGGCCTCGTTCCTTATGTAGGGTTCCTTAGGTCAACGCCCCCACTGTATGTGGGCCATGTGGTGTAAGCTATGCTGCGTAAGCTACACGGCGCAAGAGCACGGGCCGCCCACGGGGAGCCCGCGGGGCGCCCACGAGCGGGCGCGGGCGCCAACGCGGCGAGGCCTCGGGAAACCCATCCGCCTCACGAGGAGGAGGAGGA